AAAGGGAGGGAGAGAGAGAGAGAGAGAGAGAGAGAGAGAGAGAGAGAGAGAGAGAGAGAGAGAGAGAGAGAGATGGCGGAGGAAAGTAGAAGGCGGACGGTGACTTCACAGCCGGGTGCTCAGGCCGATGCGGGGGTCGAGGCGAGCGGACAGGTTGGTGCGGTGGTCGAGGCTAGCGGAGAGGTTGGTGCGGTGGTCGCGCCGCACGGAGCAGGAGGCAATAGCGGGATAGGGCCAACTTCCACAATGACCGCCGGTACTGATGCGTTGGCGACGGGAGGAACAGGCAGCGATGGCGGTCGGTGGGGGACGAACTGGGTCGCCCCTAATCAGCGGAATGGAGATTGGGGGCATGATCCGACCCACGGGCCGCACGGATGGGCGGAAATAGCGGCCACCTACGTCCACCCCGAACCTTGGTCGGACCCCCTTCCCCCCAACGGCTACCTGTATTCACCGCCGACATCCGATGATGAGGGGGGGGGAGGGAAGGGTAACGACGGCGATGGGAACAGTGACGAGTAGGGGAGGGTTGTTATTCATTCATCCTTTTTTTTTTTCTTTTTCCTCTTCTTCTTCTTCTTCTTCTTCTTCCTCATTTTCTTCTCCTTTTTTTTGTCGTGTTTCGGTGACGATTGGAGCGCAAATATTCAATATATCATTTTCCTATTCATTCTTCTTCTTCTTCTTTTTCTTTTTTTTTTCCTTTTTTTTTTTCTTCTTCTTCTTCTTCTTCTTCTTCTTCGTCTTCTTCTTCTTTTTATTCTTTTCTTTTTCTTCTCCTTTTTCTTGTCATATTTCGGTGACGAACAGAGCGGCCATTGGTTGAGGTTGGTGGCGAGGGAGGAAGAAGAAGACTCCCCTACGAGTAATGCAAGAACTTGTACATAAACGGTTTGTGGGTGTTTATGACGTGGGTGGGATCGATGGAATATCCGGTTGCTGATTCAGTTGAAGAGAGATGAAAAAATTTAATAACTTCAATTTTATTTCTCATTTTGCAAGATCCCACTGCGTATTTTGCCATCCGTTGTGGTGCGACTCTCTCTCTCTCTCTCTCTCTCTCTCTCTCTCTCTCTCTCTCTCTCTCTCTAAATGACTCTCTCTCTCCATCTCTCTC